CACACCCACAGCTCCGGGATGCACACGCTGTTGTTGCACTGGAACTCGTTGGGGTTGCAGGTCAGAGGGGAGCACTTCCTTTCATCGCTGCCATCCCCRCAGTCATTGTCACCGTCACACACGAAGATGATGGAGATGCACGACTTGTTACTGCACTGGAACTCGTTGGGTGAACAGGCTTGGGGAAAAAAAAAACAACAGATGAGCTGGGAGGTCTCCAAGACAGCACCCATGGCTGTACCAGCTTTAGCACATTAGGGATGCCTGAGGGCGAAGGCACAAAGGYATTACCTGGCTACTCCAAAACATTTCTCCCAATGGCAACTACGKGGCAGTGCTCACCAGCTTTGCCACAGGATCCATCCTCTAGGGACCACGGGCAGCCCTGGAGGAGGGGCAGCAGGAYTGTGAGAACTGCGTGTGGGAAAAGCAAGGCCAGTGCTGCCCTCATTGAGGTGAGAGCAGCCAGGTGAGCCCGGGGCGGGAGTCAGGTGAGCCCCAGGGCTGGAGCAGCAGCACGGAATGAGCAGGAGGCTGCAGGAGAGGCTGCAGGAGAGGCTGCAGGAGAGGCTGGGGCTGTGCTGGCAGCGCTGGGGCTCCGCTTGGCTCCACACTGACATTTTCAGCTTCCTGACTTTCGTAAGCACAGAATCAGGTTTCAGGATTTCACAGTATGCCTGGTTTTGGACATATTAAGTGGGATGTGTAGGGTAAATATTTAGTGAGTTGAGCATCAATTTAGCTGCAATCTGCCAGTAAGGCCCTTTACAACACGCTGAATGCCTTCCCTGGAAATCACAACTCAACATTAACATACAAATGAGGCGCCTGTCAGATAGAAGCTGAGTGGAGCACTCTCCTCTGCAAGCCTAATGGACAGCTGAACCAGAGATGCCCGCTCAAATTAARCTTTCAGGTACTCCAACAAAGTGCAGCTCGCAGTCACTTAAATTCCATCAAGGTGTGTGGGAACCAAAACCGCAGAAGAAATTCTTCGTAAGTACTTAGAGGTAGTTCCTTACAAAAGAATTCTGCTTCTGCAGTTTCAGTGCTCTGCAGGGAAGTTACAGCTTTGATAAATTACTAGTACAATATATATATGCATATAAATTACAATAAGCTTTTTTTTTTTTTTTTCACACTGCACTTGGGAGTCTTTTTGTCTTGAGAAGCAGAACTATTTACTGCCATATCTGCAGAGCCCCTACACTAAACCACACAGTTTACATGGTACCAATCACTCCAATGGCAACTGCATCTGGAAAGCAGCAGAATCCCTGTAAAGGACCTGTCATATCCCAACTTTCAGCCAGTGACAGGAACTCAGTGGGATCCTACTGCAGTATTATGTCTGGTTATACCTGGGAATAACACTGTATTTATTCAGCAATTAAGAATATGGCCACTTGGCACAGATGCTTATTTACATTCTGGCTGGCAAACTTGCTGGGCTCTGTCTGATAACCTAAGCAGCCTCTCATTTTACATCAGAGCATGACGATAAATACATATATATATATATATATATATATACACACACACATATATACATATATATATGTATACCTCTCCTGTCCTGCCCTGTGTGCTGTCCCATTTAGCCCCAGGTTTTCCAGATGTTACAGCAGAGCAATCCACCTAATTAGAGGAGAAAGAGGATTGCCTTCCTTGGTGCAATACTACCATGCACTGGCCAGGACCCAGGCTCCCTCCAGCAGGGAGAAATGTTAAAGAGAATCTCAGCTGTTCCACCAATCATGAACTGCAAAAGGAGCTACTCAGGCTCCTTCTGCACTTAGTAGAGTCTTTGAGATACTGAGATGCCCTCAACAGGCACCTGTCCCTTGGAGGAGCCAGAATTTCTCCTCTCCAAACAAAGCAACTGAGATCAGACAATTAATATTAGGAGGTAAATCCTTCTCATAAGGATCTGAAATACAAGCACAGTCTGGTGGAGAAGCATCTAAAAAAACCTCTCTGTTGCATGACAGAATTGAGACCGTTAAAATGCTCTGATTTTCACCCAAATTCTGCTCTTCTTCTGCACTCAGCAAATTTTTCTATCCATACCCCATAACTAGAAATAATCTATTAATCCTACTGATCAGTACACAGCTGTGTAACTTAACATTGTCTTCAGAGGAGCCATAATATGGAACTGCATATGGAACATTCCTCCCTAAAGTAGAAACTTAAGGTAACAGTTAKAATCTTACCAATCCATTTTAAAATGGTAGTGGGAAAACAGGAATATTTCTAAGGCTATGTACAGATTCTGCAACAGAAAAAGGCTGAGAAGAAGMAATTGCTTTTCTGGCATTATTGTGATGAAACTCAGAAGCAGATCAGAGAGTAAAATCTTGCATAGTCTTTGATCCCTAATGTTTGGGCAAGGTTGTAATGATTTGCACACTCCAAATGTGCATAAATTCCTTTCCAACTGTAATGAGCCCCTCTTTTCCCYCTCGTTGTTTTCTTGGTCCTACCTCCACCCCTCCTCCTGTTTGTACGTATTTCCCTTCAGAAATCTGCTGCATTGGCAAATTAGCGACTGACAAACACAGGAGTGGGATACAGACAATGGAAGTTTGCGCAAAAGCTCCTCCTCTGCACCTACGAATCCCGGTACAGATATAAAATTACTGATAATCACAGCCAGAAAGTAGAAGCAGTTCAGCTTTTGTAACCTCTCATGAGGACTTTCTCAGTGAAGCCTGAGAATTGCTAGCTAGAAAAATTGCATGGTCATGATTATTTTATTTCTTTTTAAAAATTAAGTTSAGTGTGATGCCAGCACTGGAGACTACAAGTTCTCTCTCCACGGAACACGCACAGCACTTTGGCTGTCAGTAACTCCCCTCTCTACCCTCCCAGTCCTTAGTGGGGATCAGGCAGTTCCTCCTGGGTCACMGGAGAGCTCCATCCATCCCTCCCCGTGTGCTTGGCTGCTGCCATGGGAGGGCAAATACACCCAACACCTCTCCCCTTCCCTCACCCTCCCTGAGAGCTGAAATCCGAGCCAGGGTAAAGCACAGGCTGCAGCTCCCTGCTCAGGGATGGCTCTGGCACACTGGGGCACAGGGACAGGAGCTGTCCAGGATCTCTGTGTGCCTGGACAGGAGCCAGCCCTGCTGCCGGGGGCTGCAGCACTGCCTGGCACCAGAACCCAATGAACACAGCCCTACAAATCCTCTTCCACAGCACCTGCACACATGGGCATGGGGAGGCAAAGTCCCAGGGACAGTTTACTGCACATCTCCTTTCATAAATCTGTCAGGGCACCCTGCAGTCCCATCACGACAGTATTTCACTGCCTCCAGAACATTTCAGTAGAAAATGTGCCAACAGTAATTAAATGATCACTGGGGTATTTTTTGACTTGAGCAATTTGGTTGCATTCTCCAAATTTGTTACCTGTCCTATTGTTGGCTGAGTCACTAAAGACCAAGGAATCAAATATTAATTTGCTTTCTTTTGCACAGAAGAAATTAATAAATGTTATACTCTAAGGTGCAAAACGTACTTCCAATATGAGTGATCCCAATAGAAATCTTGTAAATATTTGTCAAGAAGGTTTAACCAACAGTCTTCAAAGCATAACTACAACACCAATTTACTGTGGAGCAYTGTAATGTGTAAAGGTTCTTCACAGTTTTAGGAAGTAAAATATCACACATAAATGATTGTGTAGATGTGATTTTGCCTATAGACAAAAGATACCAGAGGTACTCTGCATTAATTTCTGCCCTGTGCTATGTGCCAAGCTGTAGAGCACAACTGTCACAGTTTYTGCCTCACAGCCTGCAGCTGCAGTCTTGTCACATCTCTTGAGGAGAGTGGAGCAGAAGTAGCCTTGGGATAGAGGAAGTTAAAAATAATAAAATAACACAAGATCAGAAAGATTGCAGTTGTGGAGTTCGTGCTTCATTGCTGGCTGGTTCTCTTTTGCCCAGAGTCAGGATTTAACCGGAGGCTTTAGGGAGAGTCTGGCGCAGCAGGGACAATCTTAGTTCAGGCATGGCACCAAAAGTTCAGATAATTCTGCCACATGCTTTTTAAGTGATTTTAGAAAAATCAACTGCTCTAAAGATGTGGAATTCTCTAATGACACAGGATGCTCATTGAAATCTGTCATTTCAAAAAACATATATTTGTACATAACATTTCCACAATGGACAACTCTACCAAGCATGGATCCTCAAATCTGGATAAAACTGAATAATGAAATAAACGGTACATCCATCATTAACAGGAGCTGGGAATTATGTACAACGGACTATAACTGCTGTCACTGCTGATCTCTAATTAAAGATTTTATAGCTTTTCAGTAGGAGTCAGATATTTAATTCATCTCTCCTCTGAAAGAGCCATTTCCACTTGATATTACACGAATGGCTTGAAGAAAGATAATTATTTGGTAACATTTGTGGTAAAGTGGATAGCAGCAATTATCCAGTGATGCTGAAAAAGATAAGATTAATTATTACACTGTATTTTTCTGACACTGTTCCCAAAGCAACTTTAAAAACCCCATGTCTCAAAATTTATGTTTGTTTAAATTTGAAAATGGATCTTCTAAAGTAGGCAAAGGATGATTTGTGCATAGCAACATTTGCATCAGGGAGGGAGAGATCTCCTGTTGATTCATGGCTGCTTCAATACTGGCAGGAGAGGCTGCTGGACTTCAGAACTCTCCCAAGCTCTGAGGTTTAGGATSTGAGCTCTGCAGGGTGGAATTCCTGAGCTCCCTCTGCCCAGGATTTCTGCCCCAAGGGCAAGCCCAGCTCCCACAGCCCACAGGAGCCAMTCTCTGAGCTGGGCCATGGATAAGGAGGTCACAGAGTGCAGACATGGTGAATTATGTTGGAACTCCCAGTTAYCAGCGCTGTCAGCATGTTAGTTTTGCTTAACTAGCATTTATTTTCAGACTTAATTCTGGCTAAATTATTTATTTTGCCTGCAGACAATTGCTTACCAAATACCTGAATTATTTCATACAGATCTTCCATCAAATGCCAGTCTTTAAAGCATGGATTCGTGCCTGGAAGGACGAATTTCCCATGGAACRCTGCCCTCCAGGAAGGACAGCAAAAGAGATGGAGGTAAATGAAGATGACCTTGAAACACATTGCTCTGAAAAAATGACAGGCCTCCCATGGAGGGAATAATGCAGCGGAATTGCAGCCTCACTCCCAACAGTGGTTGTTGCTATGGTGATTGATACCGAAAAGCCCCTATAGATGGAGACTGCAGAAGGAATAGTAATTCCTGATATTGTTCAAATCACTAATGGAGCTGAGGAGCCATCTCACGCACTCCTGCAAATTAATATTTGCATGTGCTCGCTGCCTTTGYCACACGCTGCCCTCAAACACAAATCAGTCATTTTCCCATTCTCTGCAGCAGTATTTGCATAGTATTAGTTAATTATAACCCAGCAACCAGATGCCAAAGCCCCTGCTGACAAATAATAGTTGGTTCAAAAATGTATTTGCTGATTTAGAATGTAATTCCTGAGAATCATATATTCATTCCAAGTGGCTTAATTATCTGAAAATRGAATTAATTATGACCCCCAATTTACAGAGAAAAGCAGTTTATGTACAAAGGTATGCACACCCTGCGCTGTCTGTCTTTAATTTTACGTAAGTGCAATAAGGTTGGAAATCATACCTCTGGTCTCCTCAATTTTCCTTCAAACCAGGAAAGGGTTAGGAAGTTTATCAAAGGTTCTTCTGGCTAAATGACTGAAAATGACCTCAAAATAAGAATAAGTTAATCCAGCATAGAGGGTTTAAGGGTAAAATAAAACAGCTTGAAAGACAAAAATGGATGGCCAGAATACCAAAGATTAATACTGCCCTGCTTTTTGTGACAATCCAAGACACCCCATGGAGATCTCGTGAGGATAAAAGCATAATTATTACTCTTTTATATTCTGACTGGAATATAATCARCTGAATCAGATTGGAGATGTGTGGTACTATATATTTGGTAGCCAAAATGTAAATGGAAAAAAAAATGCTGGGATGTGTCTAGTGAGTTTCTTTACTGACTTTGAAAATTGGAGCCTGTACAGGACAAGCTCACTTCTGTTCCCTTAGACATGACTTGCTTRTTAAAATGGCAATTTTACAAATTACACCAATTTGGCAAATCCCTCAGAAACATCTGATAATAGCCTTTATGCTAACAGCTGCTCTAATACTATCACACAAAATTCTGTATTTCTGAGGAATATATAAATGTTCAGCAAGCAGAACAGAGCATTACTGAGCAGGGCTTCATCCTGGGACAGTGCACACAAATCCCATGACTGCACACACAGACCTCTTGGATTTGGCAGGATTCCCCGTAGTTATGCATTTTCTGCATGACCAGGATTTAACTTTGCCATTGTAGGGTTTAAATTACAGATTACTTTTCCACGAAAAGCCAATCCATGCATGTCACCTTCCATCCCCATGGCAGTGTCCCACTCTGTGCTCACCTGCTGACACCGAGACACCACCTACCTGTTTCCCCCATGGTTTCCTGGCTCCTTATGTCCAGCTCAGGAGAGACTTCATTAGAATCCTAAAAGCCACGCTCCAGTMACATTGTCAAATGACAGCACAATTRGTTTTATTCTTAGATAATGTGGGAAAAGCAAGGAATCCCAACCCATGGCTCCATAGCTTTGTCAGTGGTCTGCCACTTTCTCTTTACCCTTACCCGTTCCTAAGCCCAGCAATGGTACCAGTTTGGCCAGCTGGAAAGCTGAGCCGTTTTCCCAGAGTGAATTAAGTAATTTCTAAGTTACTGCAATAACTCAGCAGGGAATCCCAGAGGTTGCTGACTCACAGCTCTGAACTCACCTGAGCAGTGAGGGACAGAACAGAGCTCACTTTACAAGCAGTGAGGTCAGTGCCCCATAAARTTTCAACTTCCACTAATTTACTTTGCTTGATGGGAGCTCTCTGTAAGAGGAGATATTTCTTCTTATTGCAGTTGCTTCACTATTAGCCTTAAACATTCCCTGCGTTTGGAACATGCACTATTAACTCTTCTGGAGCACAGACCAAACAAGGCACGGCTGAGAGCTTTGCCTTCTCAAGCCCCCAGTTTACCCAACCATGGCTCACATTTCTCTAGAAACAATGATCCAAAGAGATCTTGAATGTAGGTTCAATAACAATTTAACATTTGCTTCTGAAATAAAATAGTYCACAAGACAACTGATCTGAAGGGAGAAGAACCTTAAAAAAGAAGCACTAAGGCCACTGGCAGAATTTGGTGTACCCACATTCAAGGTTAAGAGCATAAGCACATCCTATAGCAACCAAGACCATAAATCCARAACCCTTTGGTGATTTTGGGGGAGGGAGAGACTGACAGACTGTTCAGAAAACAAATGTCCCAATTGTTTTCACAGTTATGTGTTATTAGAGGGCCCGGCTATTATGTGATGCAGACAACGTACTTATGTACCCGCAATTCCAGAAAAGAATGGCAATCATTTTTGAAAACACAGTATTAGATTTTCTACTCAAATGGAAAATTTAATCACTGAGTGACACTCACTGCAATTAAACCTGTATGGGTCATGTGCTGACTGTGCTCACATTAACAGCAGTGAGATTTCCATGGCATTAGGATTTRCCTGGCAGTTTCTGTGACTTGGGAATAGAAAGCAGCACTTCCCTGGWTTTGGGCTGAGATGAAGACTCAGATGTTCAACATGAGCAAGTATTTTAAAGTTATTGGAACAAAGAAGGGTAAGGAAGTGGTATTTATTGTGAGCTAAACTTTTCTCATTACATTTATCAAAAAAAATTATTTGCAAAGTAAAAGCAAAGTTAATCCAACCATTATATCATCCTCTGTAGGCAAAGAGTGTATTTCAGCCAYTAAGATGACTTTCAGATGCTGTTTTATCTATTAATATGACTCATAAACCAACTTCTTTTTTTTTTTCTTTTTCATCAAGCATGACATGGTCCTCTCCTGCGTAGGACTGTGCTCAGTTCAGGGTACTGGTTTTAATTTAGCCTTCAGATCATATGCTCAGGAAGCAGAACTGTTAATTAGTGTAACACATATGTACTGGTGGCCACTGCAGGATGCAACTCCTACCCACATATCTGCCATCATAGCATCATCATTGGCATTGCCAGCTACAGAAGATTTCCMTGAATAAAACTAAACAGATTCTTGCTTTTTGCATGAATAGGCTCAAAATTATAGCTGCATTCTTAGAAGAAAGCACTTCAGGGACATGAAACACAATTGTATTTGGCAATAAGAGATGTAATTTCTTGACTATTTCAACTCTAGGAGCTCTAACTGTTGAAAGACAGACTACCCAAAAGATAAACATAATTACAGGCCAATTTTTGCTCCTCTGACAGTATGATGTGAGATAGGAAAGAAGAATCARAGCTAAAGTGCAGGAAGAGCAGCAGCAACAATCTCGTGTGGGTGTGCAMAGGTATCCTGCAGTCCAGCACTATTAAACTTTAATTATCCACAGAYCTTTGTATCAAGTAGTCCTGTTCCAGAACCCTGTGTACAACGATCCTTTTGGGTGTGAAGGATGTGTCTGTGTGGGGCTGTGAGTGTTCTTTGCATCTCCCCTTTTCCCCAAGCACTCTTTCACAGAAACACTGCAGAAGTTCCACTGCTGGATTGTCTTGTTTTCAGATGGTGTTTTCATCTACTCTGCTTTAGAGAATCAATTATTCAAGGAGCACTGATAGGGACAATTTCTCAGTGAGGAGGAGCAGCACAGGGCACCCCCAAGGCCTGCAGTGTGAGCYAGGCCCACTCTGTGCTGGAAGCTCCATCTGCAGATGTGCCACACGTCTTCCTTCAGAAACCCAAGCTCAAGAGGCAGCAGCAGGGAAAACAAATCCATTTGACCCTCACCTTCTGCAGGTATAGCCCTTCCACAGCTTGGGCCACAGCTTTAGGGTTTAATTCTGGATTTACACAACGACTGCCTTACCTTTACCCTAAGTTCACACACTGTTTAATTATGTTTAATTACTACGAGCATCCAGTATATTAAAAATGCAACTACTTTCACTTTTCCTGTCAGCATGTAATTAAAAGTAACTCCCAATCTCTTTTTTYCCTTGCCATTTTGTTCTGAAGGAACCCAGGACAAATATGATTAKGGGCTGAGATTTTTCCCAAATAACAATGGGGATTTTTCTGCAAATTACTACTGCTTTTGAAGGAGCTCTAATACTTTAAGCAGTGATAAAGTGGCAGCTGTACATGTTTAATTTCTGAGAGCCAGGGCATAATGCACAAGCATTAATCCCTCCAGCTGTCCAGTAATTAAACATCATGTAAAGCCCAGAGGATATCATTGCTGTGCTACTGTATCTTATTTACCAAGGACTTGCATTTGTTAAATCTAGCAATTCTTTTTTTCTTGGAAATAATTGTAAATTCTTACACCACAACAAGTGCACTGAAGTTACAGCTACCTTCTATAAAATGCAAAGAATTTCAGACCAGCCATGTTTCTTATCATCGTAAATAATGATAGTAGATAAAGATTTCCTTTACAGGCATGAATGTGATACTGTGGGCTTTAACCCTATTACAAGTGGTGGGTTTCTYAGGGAGAATACATGGTAAAATCTGATCCTTTGGGTTTGATGTGCCTCTGAGGTGACTGGAGAACAGCACATCCCTGTGCACCTGGCCTGTTAATGAAGGCAGTGAACAGAATTCCCAACTTTGACAAAAGGTACACATTCAACAAACTGTAATGAAAAATAAAATCAGTGCTGCATGATCACCAAGTTAAAAGGTCTCAGTAGGATCAATGGAGATCTGAAATGGACTGGGTAAGTATGGTCAAATCCCAAAAGGGAGCACTGGAAGCATGACYCAGATGCAAAACACAGGTAGCTTTTACTGCACAAAGAAGAAAGCAGTGCTGAGAAAACATGAGGCTCTTTACAGTTACAGGGCAATGATCTCAGATGATAAAACAATTTAACTGTCAACAGAAAGGTCACTTCATATGTGCGTAGGTGCAGGGGCAGCGACTTTAAATCAGCTTTGCAATTTCCCCCATCRGCTGGTTCATCACCAGGTGGATCTGCTGCAGGGATGAACAGCTTTAGCCTGCTTTAAATTCTGCCTTCAGCCCCTGCTTCTCAGGTGACCTGAGGGCTGTTGAGCAGGGCACCCACCAGAGCTGCCTCAAAGTTTTCTCAAAAAACTCAGACCTTCCAAGAAAAGGAGCCCTCACTTGAAGGCACTGCTGATTTTTATGGAGAGTAACACATGGGCTTGGACTTTGCCASGAAAAGTGGGAAGTTCATCACCTGAGGACCCTGTAAATGATCCTGGTACACCTTGGAAATGGGAAGCCTGGGAACTGCAACGGCAAGGGCACATGGGTACAGCTGAGCACACCTGTGGTTTCGCTTATGAATTTAAAAAAACCTTTATCCAGTTTGTTCACTTTTAATCTGGCATACCATCATTTCATCAGCCTGAAAATCTAGAACTAAGTGTGAGATCCATGGGCAGGAATGAAAAGCCTGAAGACGAKGGTCCAAAGGAAGATGCTCTGGGTAACAAGGCCATCAATGTATCAATGAATACATCAKTTTACTGCATCTGACTGTTGGGACAGGGGAAAATGGTGCCCTTACAACTCTGCATCTACAAGACACAAGTTCCATACTGAGTGCAAGAAGTGGTTAAGGTGAGAACCAGAGATATAGCCAGAACGGATGGCACCACGGCCTTGTTCTCTTTTGAGCATCTCAAAGTGCTGCCAGGAGGAACAAGTGTGCATGACAGGGGTTCAGTGCCATTTCAGCTGGTACAGGATGGCAGCTCTTCTGTTCCAAAGCCACTCTCAAGTGCTCTCTGCATTCCTGAGCAGCTGAAAAAACACTGGTTACTGTCTCTCTTGGCAGAGATTTAAGAAGTTTTGCTGTAGTTGGCCAAGTCCAAACTGACCTCGAGTTGTGTTACTTTAATTACAGTCTATTGTTTTTAATTTCTTGTTTAGTCTCAATGAACACATTCCTAAGCTTGTCCAATCAACTGTGACAAAGGTTGGGTGYACTGGGAGCAGAAGATCTTCACCAGGGAAATAAGGAGGCTGCCAGCACCTCCAAGCCAGCAAATTCAACACTGCTAAACCTGACCTATGACTACAACACACCTCATGTTGTAAAAACTCAAATTACTTCTGCTCCAAAAACTGATAAACAAGATTTTTCTTTTTATATACTATTATTTTTAAAAGGCAGATGTTTGCATTTTCGAAAATGGTTTGTGGACTGAAAGTTAGTGGTGTTCTTAAAGCCTGCCTGTTGGAAGTAAATTATTTAGGCAGACAGGCACTTAACTACCTACATGCAAGGATTAATACCTGCAATTAATCCCTGGTCCAGCTACAGCCTGTGCAGACACAAATCCGAATCCCTGATCACTGTGTGTTTTATCTACTGCAAGTGAAAGAATTTGCAGTTTCCATCACTTCCTTAGGAAGTTCTTCCTAAGAAGGAAGGTGGAAATTGCACCATTTTGTCTCCTGATTCAGACTCTCTACTTCTGTCTCCGAGTCTCTGAACAGCTGCCTTCTCCCCACAGCTGGCTGTGCCAGTATCTGCACTGGATACATTTCACATGGATTCCAAAAGTAATTATATCATTCTGAGAGGAAAAATCCATCAAGAATTATAAGGTCCAGAGCAGCAGCTGGAAAGCAAACTGCTGGAGCAGGAAGAACCATAATACACTGTCCTTACAGTTTTGGATGGTTCTATACCATATTCATTATTCTCTCCAGCAGGAGATCCTCCCTTAACTTGGGCTGTCAACATTCTGATACAGAGACAGGTTCTTGCAGAGCCCCAGCACAACCAAGCTTTGCTCCTGGATACCACCACAATATTGTTACTGCTACAAATACCAATTGCATTGAACCAGGCAAAAATGAGGTTCGTAAACTCCACATTAAATCCTCTTGAAGAACTATATAAATCTAAGAGCCAGTTATTTCTCTCAAGAAATAAAGAGTATACACAGTATACTCTTATAAAATATTTTTGAAGTGTCACATGAGGTTTCAGTAATAGCTTTATTAACATGGATTTAGAAAGGGCTTAGGGGTTTTTCTTCTGGATGCCCTCACTCACACTGTCTTCAAGACATCATCCACTTGTTAATTACACATGCAGGCTTTCACCACAGAAATTATTCTGAGCACAAATAAATCCCCTTCCAAACATTKGTGTTATTTATAGCCAAGCTGGTCAGCTCTGTGAGAAGGGCAGCCTCTGTGACAGGGTGCTCTGCTCCAAGGGGCTGCGGGTGACAGGYAGTGCTGAAGCTTCTTATAAAATGAGAATAAAAACCTGAGTGCWGAGATTAAATTAACAAAACAAAGAAAAGAAAGGGTCTGAAGTGGTCAGGATACTGTGTGCTGCTGWGATAAGAGGAAACAGAGAAAGGAGGATTCTAAACAGAAGAAATGGGGATGTTAACAGAGTATCAGTGGACAGGCTTAGTGAGGTTTATCAGATTTGGATAAGAGAGAGGATAGCTATCAATCCTCCACAAGCTCCCAATTGAAACAGCTCACACAATTGTTCTCAGCCATGAGGAAAAGACCTTCATTTGCCAGGCAGCCTCTCTGAAAGTGCTCCCAGTACAGCCATTCAGCAGTGCCTCCCATTTCCCTCTCAAAGAGAGTTCTGACCTCTGAAAGATGCTGAGTTGAGATTGTAGGGGGGATTTGCACTCACCCAGGACGTTTTGGGGTTTGCACTCACCCAGGACACTCCAAGTTTACCTGGTCCTCATGCCAGAGAATGGCCCATCCCCATCCAGACTCAGCTGAGGTTTCCAGGGTGTGGGGACAACACTCAGTCATTAGGAACTGGTTGAAAGCCACTAAGGGATTTCTCACAAGTTACTCAACAACCATCAAAATGTGGTAATTTGTTCCTGGATTAAATTTCCATTTTGAAGAACCTGCACATCAATTAAAACTGGCAGATAAGTAAGAGTAGAGATGCTGAGACATCCAGAACAGGAACACTCTGCTACTTCCAAATCCATTAATAGCATMATTATGCTGAAATTATGTGGCATTCAGAACATATTTACATTCATTTTGGGGGTTACCTAAGGCCTTGGRAAAAAAGTTCAAAGCAATTTCAAGTAGATTTTTGTTATAACTAAAAGACTCGGTGAGACCACTCCTACTGGTGTGAGCAGCAGCAGCATTAAATTAGGGGAGGCAGCCACCAGTGCAAAAATTGTTCTAATTTCACTAACTCATAATAGGAAAATAGCAGTTACAATTATCTTCTGAATTTGTCTCTAATTCGAGCCTCCCATTCAAAGAAAAAAAAATGTACATGCTACAGAGAAAACACTTAAAGAGTTTCACACAGAAAACAAAAAAAAGGAAAAAGAAAAAAAGGACTAAGAAAAAATACTTTTGCAAAGAGAGCTAAATAGCGGAACAAGCTGCTCACAAAGTAAAAGCTTTGATAATATTTTGTTTGATAAAGCTGACTGCAAAKAAATAAATTTATCCACAGCATTCTACTCAGAACCACAAAATGTTCATGTAAAACATATTTTGTTACAAAACTTCAAAGAAAAGATATAATGTGGATTACGAACTGGGTAGGCATTAGTGCCCAAAATCTAGTTTTCAAATTAAGAAAACTTCAATTTGTGCTTGAATGTAATCATTCAACCCTTTCACCAGTAATCTGGAAGTAAAAATAACATTGTGATACCACATGCAACACTAGAAATATTGATGGGTGGGTGAACACACAGAACTTAGAGAGCTTCTTAACCGCCTGGATCACTTGCACACAAAGAATTTAATAAGAACAGTATTAGATTAGAAAGGTGAATTTACTTCTGCACAGACTGGCAAGACTGATACTCCCTAAATTCTGGTAGTTTGTGTAAAAAGGAAATTRGAAAACCAACTGGAATACCAAAGGRGCCACAAGAATGAGTCAAGCATTCATTCCAAAGGAAATATTTGGCAACGAGAAGCATAAAGAATTAATATGTTTGGTCTGTCAGRAAGGGAGTCTGAGAAATGGTTTGATCACACAGTGTAAGAGTTTTCACTCCTAACAGTAAAACATGTTAAAGAGCTCTTTCCTTCAGCCCAGAAAGGCCTAACAAAAGGCAGTGGCCATTTAGGGAGTGGATTTAAAACAGTTATGGGTAGAGAATATATCATTCTTTCTGCCTGGTGAAACCCACAAGCTCTTAATGCCCAGGCCTATCCCAGCCTGGGTCTGTCCACACTCTGCAGGCACAAGGACAGGAACCTGCTGAGCTGCCACAGAGGAAGGTTTGAACTTTAAATCATTTCATATCACCTGGCTGTTAACCCTAATAATAATACCTCATTCTCAATACAAAGAATACTTAATTTTTCAGAGGTCACTCATTCTCCAGCCAGCYCCACCTGGAGAATCCTTCTTTCCCCTCTTTTTCTAAAAGTCACCACTTAGCAGTGCAATGCAGAGTGAATAAGTTTGTTGGCAGAAAAAGTCATCCCTTTCTATGTAATTTGTAACAGTCACTGTAGGACTTCTGTGTCCTAAATGGAGATGTTGCATATGTATTAACTCACCAGGAGTGCAACCAGCCTCATCAATTCCGCTTTCACAATCCTTCTGCCCATCACATCTCCAGGACGACGGGATACACTTGTTGCTTAAGTCTCCACAGCTGATTTTTTCAGACGGACACACTTGCTTGGCTGGAAGAATAATAAAAAACAACAAAAAAACGCACAAGTTAGACATATTTCTGAACATTACTAACAACGTTATACTGTTAAAGTTACTTTTCTTTTGACTGGCTCAATCCTGAAACATATTGGAATG